TTTAAATAAGTGAAGTGGTAATCATTATGATTATGCTGGCAACATTATGGTAAACTCTCAGATTGACACCGCTAAAAGAACTCGTATCCGAGCCAGAATCCCATTAATTAAGGCTCCCACAGACCGAATGCTTCCTCGCGTAGACGCAGACGCACGCAGCGGTTGTAATGTATGGAGCTGTATGAAGTGCACATCTACGAGTTATTTTCTGGACGTCTCTTTTTAATCTACTCCATCGGGAGCCTTAACGCAAAAGGAGCGCAGCGCGGGAGCATTCGTGCAGAAAATAGTATGGATATGACATGTGATGCGTTGCGTGCGTGCGTCTGTCGTCTGACATTTCCATTCTATTTCTGCACGCACGCGTGCTACGTTCAGTCTGCGTTAGCTTTAATGACGTGCGCTACGCCGCTGGGACTATCAATGCGAGGACCTGCACTGCTTAAAGTTAGGCGATGCGCTGTGTGACGTGGATTTTGCTATGGCCTCAATAGCAATTTAAGCGCCGGCATCAATATCAAATTAATTTTAACAGTTACAAATTCGTACATTCGTACATGCATTGCGGCGCAGCGCTTACATCACTTTGTATTTTAATGCCTTCGCTGCGTGACGCCGGTCCGTGCGGATCCGCAATGCGAGCACTTGTGTGGTTTTACTCACTTTATCTGTTAAAGTAAACTGAACTGCGCACATGGACGGTCCGCGCGTATAATACGCTTCACGCAGCGGAGGCACTTAAACTGACCTTATACGAAAAAAAAAACTAATTCCAAAACCAAAAATACTTTATAGAGGGCCGCAAACCGCAAACTTCACTATACTTCAGGCGCTCATATGTAGTTAGTGAAGTTGGCGCGAGGACTGTCAGGCGGACTGGTGTAGTTCCCCAATCGTGGAAGCTTGCAAACGTGCAACCTGTGCCCAAAAAAGGCAGCCGTGCTGACCCTGCCAATTATAGACCCATATTGGTCACCTCTATACTCTGCAAGACTATGGAGCTCCTGGCTTACCTCGAGAGCAATGATCTCCTTAACGACCGTCAATAGAATGACAGTTGTGTGTCGCTGGCATTACAATGGTTAAAAATTAGCGGACTTGGGGCCTAGGTGTTGCGTTGCGTGCGTACGTCTGTCATCTGACGTCTCCATTCCATTTCTGCACGCACGCACGCGTGCTACGTTTGGTCTGCGTTAGCTTTAAGGGCGTGCGCTGCGTCGCTGGGACTATCAATGCGAGGACCTGCACTGCTTGAAGTAAGGGCATGCGCTGCGTATGCTTGCCGGTGTGGCAGGGACTGCGCGCCTGCGTAGAAATACACGCTACGCGACGTGACACGACACAAGGCGACGCGTCCTGTCTGCGGGAGCCTTTACTTTTTCTACCTACTCTACACATGCAACCTCATTAAAAAAACTCTTTAGATGCAAAAAAATATCCCTTGGTTGTCAAGTATTATGTTTGACAATTGATTTGTTTACTTTGAGCTTTGATAATTATTTTACTTATTTTGTGCGATTTATTGTTGTATTTATTGTTTATTACATATTTTACCGTTACCTGCAGACCAGGGATCGTCAATAATAATTACATTAGAAGGTTTTAAGTGATTTAGTGTGCTTCTTATCAAATAACACGACTTCTTGTGTTTTTGCCTGTAAATCAGTACAATTCAGTATACAACATGTGCAAATGAAGTGAATACAATTTAGGTATTTAATAAAATTCGATGCATAGATAAGTTTAAAATGTTCTAGGGCATTAAAATATACCTATTTATAAAGAACGAAATACAGTGTTTGTGTTTGTTTTGGTTTAATGACAGATATGAATGACAGTTTACTTTTTAACATTGATACTTCTGCCATAATTCATGAAGTTTTTATATATGCTATGCCGTCATCTAAGAAGGTTCCATATGATTTCGATGGCAATGCAACAAAAATGCATGTTCGTTTCATTTTTAGTATTGTCCATTTGGTTTTTTATAAATATAAAAAAACGGGGGTCCTTACAATCAAATGAAATATGTGCCTAAGTAGAATTTTAACTAAGCTTTAAAATGATATGTTTTTTATATCAGTCGAAATTGATCTCCCGGTAAAAGACGTCACCTTTCTAGGCTTGTCGTTAAAACTGCATAAAAGGCAACCGATTTTTAATTTTATACGATGATTTTATACCAACTGTACCAAAGACTCCACACGACATGATACGAGTAGAACTAAAAGATCAACATAATTTATGTTTGAGCTTTGTGTAAGAAATTGTTTCCACAGTTAGTTTGTAATTTTCTAGATTCGACACCCTCATTACGGAAACATTTTTCTTTTCCACTTGAGTACAATAGGTACCATCTGTATTTTTAATACCATATTAATTCATTGTTTATGTTTGTTTCAGGTATGTTATAGAAGAAATCAAAACATCGAATTTTAAGGTAACAAAAACAGATTTTGTTCGTTGCAAAACAAAATATTTTACGCAATTAAATTTTGAGGATAAACGAAACAGTTTGTTTTTAATACCTCGGTCGGTGTAATACCTAATGAATAAATTATCTGTTAAGCTCGTTTCGGTATTCATGAAAAGAAAAAGAAGCATTGATAATATTTAAAGTGGTTGTCGGTCACTTTTTTCAACACACCGTTGTAATTTATATTATTGGCACCCAATCTTTAATTAGCTCATTTGCTCAGAAACTACATTTTACATTTTATACAACGTGTTGAAGAATGATAAACAAATATGTTTTCTTTAACAAATTGTTTTAGCATTTTTTTTGTCTTCAAAGATCTGAACCACGAAGTCGAAACCTAAATAAATATACCAGAGACCAGTAGACCAGTATTATAGAGGTAGTCCACTCGCGACCATGGACCGTGAAGCCGTTTCAAAATATCGAGGTTAACAAAACACTTATCCCGGTCTTAATCATAATTTAAGTGTTGTGAACAACCGCGACAATCTAAAAAAATATGATGTTGACAATTTGCAGAAAGAAAGTTAACCTGTTCAATTGAACAACCGACTTTAACTTGGTTTATCTTGAAGTTTAGTTATCCGACTAACTGTCTTGAAGACAATGTTAGTTCAACAAAGTCACCACCGGAGTCTTTCTTATCTTTTAATTAAAAGTTACACATTCATACTCGGTTTGCAGTTTGATGAAGATAATTATCTATAAATTTCGCAATCTTTTGGCTCTGAGGCACTAACTCCACGAGCAAGACGTCTTAGACATGAGACGGCGCGTCCATGCAACGTGCGACATCGCGATGCTTGAAACCGTTTCTAACCTGACCAGCATGACTACGCAAAGTACTGAGTGAAATTTTACTAGTGACCAATAGCGAAAACTTGGAACCCAAGGCTGTAAATGATGTAAAAAAAATTTGACGTTACTCTATGGACCACCCTGTATAGTGGTAAATGATAGTTAGCAATCAAGTAGGTGGATATAGACCCACAATCAGACGAGTGCCCAAACTTCGACGACCCCTGTTATCAGAGTCCCACAAAATGGCCTCCAACTTTACTATTATGAACCTTTTAGTAGGGGAGCCCAGTTGGAGAATTTTCAAATACACGAACGCGGCAGATTGGCACATGGTGATGTAGCTATTTACATGTATATCCCAATTAATTCCTCTTTTACTTATAGTTGTGCGTCTTGGATGGGCCACAACAACTGCACTACAACTTCAAATATACGTCAAATGTGTCGACGACGGTTTTTCTTGTACATTTTATTTTTGCTTCCATATTTATGGGATATAGGTCGTGATGTATGTAATCAAAGTAGTCAGCATGCTCTAAGGTAATCACCAAAATCTATACGTCGCTTGACTAACAACACATTTACCCTACGACACTCCCCTACTATGTACATGTTATTCGTACTGCCATTCTGAATCAATAGTTCAGTTGTGTGACAAAAGTTGAGTGTACCGACATGTCCGACTTGGCGCAACTTTCACAACCCCGCTAACTTCCCATTCAGAACTTGGTGGTGTGTTCTGTGCGCAATATGTTTGTGTTCAGATTGAAAATGTAGGTGAAACTATTGCCTGGCGAGTGGATTATTGCAAAATAAATAATCTGTCTTTTTCTGATTTACAGTATCACGGCCATTCGAATAGGCCATATTTAGCTTATATCATTAGAATCATGCTTTTGCCATGACATAATATAAGGTCTATTTTTCTTTGTTGACATGCCTTCTACGTAGTGTGTGTTTGATAGCCGTGAAATCTGGCCTATTTGAACGGCTGTACTGTAATTTTATTAACGTTTGTGTTAAAGGTCGGCGCCGTCTCTTTTTGGACGTGACTGAAGAGTTACTATATTCGTTGTTTAAACAAACTCAAATGCGTACATGTCAAAGATGTTTTGTGAATGAGTTTGTAAACAAACTAAATAATAAATGAGCGTTCATTTCACAAAAATAGGCTTTACTCCCAACCAAGGTTACTAAAACCATCATCATCTGCCTGCCCTTATTCTAAACCTTCTGTTAAAGCACACAATCACGCACGAGACATATTTTTTGACAAAATCATGTAGAAAAGGGATTCGGTAATGTTTTAGGACCGGCCGCCTACTTGAAGTCAACCCTCTTTAGGAATGCTACCTGTAGGTGGTATCACCGCCACCGCGGTTGACCATAGTCGACGGATATTCCGAGGTCAAAAACTCAACGTCCCTTTTTGCGAAACACCTCGAGTGGACTAGGGGTGGCAGTATTCTTAGCCGCTACCACACCGCTTTCTCTTCACTGAGGTTACTAAAATATTCACTGTAAAAAAGGCAGCTTTTTAAAAAGTTCCATTAAGTTCGTTGACACTATTGAAAAACGCTCCGCAACGCCTAACATTACTTAAACGGCGGCGCGACGTCTCCCGACCGTAAAGAGGTGAATACACTTCTTCAAGAAAAAACATTACTTACATATAGGTATATTTTCATAAATAGAAAATGAGAAAATTGAATAATTCACCAGCGTCCGCCGGGACTTGAACCCGAGACTGTAGATCACCATTCCACCGCTGACAACTGAGCTACGGGTGCCTAGCGGACCTTGGTAAATTTCTCAACCTCTTACATATATAACCTGATTCACAGAAAAAAGGGAACCAAAATGGCAATGGTTGTTTGCGTCTTTATCATATTACATGACATTTGATCAAGATGGCAACAATAATGTTGCCACTTCGAGTCCCCTTCTTCTATGAATCGGATACTGTAAATGGCTGTAAAAATGGCCATTGTCACCATGTCTGACAAAAGTTTGAGAATCATTCAGAAGACAGTGAATCACCATAGTGAGAGGTTATCTGCCTGTCGCCTAAAATTGCAATACCTACACATCAACTCTCAAATCCCTTCGTCGCTTCTTACGACGTCCATGGGAAAGATATGGAGTGATGCTATTCTAAGCCAGCACCACACTGCATTGACAAAAGTTGATGCGACATTGTGTTCTCTCCTTTAGAGAGAATCTTTTCACTTCTCCCTAAGAACTCGTAGATAAAAATTTATGAGTGCATTTTCCCCAATATTTAACCTTAGATTGGACAGTTCCAATTTCGTCCAACTTTTAATGCGTAAATTTTGTAATCTGATTATAATAAATTTAATAAATCGTCTGGCAGTTTATTTGTAACCCAAGAATTTAATAATTTGCCCCAGCAGGCGGTTACATGTTTTATTGAATAATAATTTAAATATATTTGAGGTTTTTTTTTTAATAAGGTGAATGTCTGATAATTTGAGACAAATACATACAACGTGTTACAAAACAACCCATAAAAACTCCCATACAGATTGAGTTCGTTTTGTATGGGAGGTCCAAATTTTTTTTTCGTATTTCGACCCATGTTCCATGGGGAAAGTTGTTCAGTTCCACGAGTACCTTGACCTCCTTTCAGCTTTATTGGTTGTTTTGTAACACCCAGTATAAAGTACGAAACATGATCTTAAAATAGGTACACTTACAGTATATAGGGTAAAATTTTACTAGTGACCGATACCGAAAAAACAACAACCCAAGGAACATAGGTTGAAATATAAACATAAGACCTCCCATAGCTGATGTGCAATTTTGTATGGGAGGTCCAAATTTGTTTTCTTTATTTCGACCTATGTTCCTTGGAGAAAGTTGTTCCTTATCACCAGCCGGTTCTGAGTTTTCGCTATCGGTCACTAGTAAAATTTCATCCTGTATTCAGTGTGTGCGAGCGGGCATTTATTCAAACTGGTGATTCTAGGCATCTATATGAATATCTTTTAGTACCATGATAAAGCCATCTGCAATATCACGAAAAAAGGGGTCACCTGTTCCCTAGAAGTACCTTATACCTTCAAGCAAAATGTAAAGAACAGCTGTTTTTTGTAATTTCGCAGATGGCCCCATAGTAAAAGATGTTCGTTTAGATGCCTAGAATCACTTGAATATATACTAGGGATGTGACTTGAGTAATAAAAAATCGTTTTTTTTATAATCGATTGTTTCTAGTCGCAAAAAAATCGATTAAAAATAAATCGATTTTTATTTTAAAAAACATCGTTTTTTAATAAAAATCGATTTTTTTCTTTTTACACCTTTAATTTTATCAAAAAGTGTTATTGCTATTCACTTTTTGATTATTTGCAAGTTATATTACATGATTTTTCTAAATTTTAATGTTAAGCGCAATACAAATTATTTTTTATGCACCTAATTACTATAAGTAAAAAGTAAAATACAAATACAAATCAATACTTCATACAAATTGACTCGACCGCTTGTTACATTTTGAATGAGAGGTCCGTTTTATTTATTATTTTGTTTTGTAGCATTTAGTATAGTCATAATCTAGTATTATCATAGTCATCCCTTTGGGTAAGACAACGCGTTGCCAAACGACCCAATGAACTCTGGTGTCAGAGTTTTACGACCGCCTACTAAAAGTACCGCTTCTACACAAAGTATTAAAACGGTCTCTTCTTTTTCATGACAGCAATACTGTATTTTTAGACCTAAAATTTACAGTTTGGATGCAAAAATAGCAGTTACTACACCGAAAAGAGCCGAACTCTTACATTTAAGACCGAGAAAATTGGGTATGGTGTGTTATTATTCATGCACAATCAAGACAAACAAACAAACAACAAACAAAAATATATTTATTTCCACACCACAAAATGTTTACAAATTTAACATATGTACATTAAATAAAAGACATAAAAGACGTTTGGTAAAAAAAAAGAGAAAAAAATCGATTTCTATTTTTTGGAAATTTTAAAAATATAATCGATTTTTAATTAATCGATTAATTCTACTCTTTAAATTAATCGATTAATGGACTTTTTTATGACAGAAAAATCGATTTTTTTAAAATCGATTATTTTTTCACATCCCTGATATATACCCGCTTGACGGTAACGCACTGAATAAGCAATATTTAGAGTGTGCGTATCGCCCCTCACACCTTTTTCTATTAATTATGAAAGCTACATCCTCCAAGTTAATTATTTAACGATCACCTCACATTACTCAAAATACGTGTTCGTTGTAAATAAGTTAAAATGAGATATTAACTCCTCGAAAGCCTTCCACATTTCACCCAGAAAATTGTACTTAAAACTTACATAACCCACTTATAACACGGGGGATACGCGGCGTAGCTTTTACTACGGCGTAGCAATGTACTACGAGCCGTAGCGGCTCATTAATCATTTTAAAACTCGTACGTTTTTGAGCGGGTTGTTCCCGCTTGCTCCATGTAAAGATAAAATATTTGCATTTATGAGAATAATTTAGCACTCTGAGTGCATTGAAAAACCTAATAGAAAAAAAAATTGTCTAAGAAAAAAATTGGTTTATTTTTTTTGTATTGAAAGGAAATCCATTTTTTTTTTCAGTTTTAATGATTTGACATTGCGATAGAGGGCCAGGTATAGCTGTAAAGATCTAAGAACACAATGCTTTAATTAAGGATTTTTATATCTTTAATCTAACCATTTACTACATCATTTAATTCAAAGAAGCAGAATTCACACAATCAACTAAAGCAATTTTACGTCCGAAACGTGTTTCAATTCCAAATAACATACATACATTATATATCACGCCAATATCCCTTGCGGGGTAGGCAGAGCGTAAACGGCTGTAAAAAAACTGTCATTAACTCAACGTCTGATAAAAGTTTGAGAGTCATTCAGAAGTCTGTTTATCACCATTATGACAGGTTGTCAGCCTGTCGCCTAAAATTGCAATACACATCAACTTTCAAATCTTGCTTCTTACGATACCAACGTAAAAAATAGGTGATGCTATTCTAAGCCGACATCACACGGTGTTCGAGCACAAGAACTCTTTGGACTGACAGCTGACCTGGCTGGTTTTCTATATCTATTATGTCGTTGTGACGTGACTTCAATTTCTGCACTCATTTTGTTAATCCTTGAAAAAAATGGTATTATAATAATATATTTATAAAATATTACGCAATCCAGACTTTATGTGTAGTTAGACACACAAAAAAAAACTACAACATAAGTTGTTTGGCTCTTCGAGCCTCGGATTATTTAATCCGTAAAAGTACATATACCTACGCGCAACAGCGACCTAGGAACATGTCGCAGATGGAATAAACGAATGGATGAAGAACCAGACCACAGCGTGATCTAGGAACTGGTTGAGGATAGATCTACGCAGGATCCACGTCACCAAGAGACGCATCACGCAGCGCTCATATGACTGACGTGCCAACCATTTTTCATACATTCTTATTCACATTTCCCTTTTTTCCGTGTGTTTTAGTTTGCGTTTATTTTCAGTGTTGTGTTATCTCGGCGTAAAATTGCGTTGTCCTGCTGCACGTTCAAGTTGATATATTGTGTTGGAATCAAAGGTATAACCGCAATAGCCATCGTGATCTGCGACCGTTGAATGTGAGTACTTCTACACTCCTCCAAAATGACTGATAAAACAGAGTTGAGTGCCCAGAGGGTATTATAAAAAGGGTCTCACCAATTTTACGAAACATGTAGAGGGTCTAGAAGGTCATGTAGAGTTAGGCAACCTTTTATCACTAAAGCAGCGTATAGAGTTAAATCTGCGTATTACAAACGTTAAGAGTTTGTATGATTCATTTCAAGATATTCAACAGAAAATTGAAACTCTAGCGAGCGAATCGGAAGCCGATACTGAGAAGGAACAAGCGTATCGCGACACCTTTGAGTCCAATTATTATTCCGTATTGGCCAAAGCGCAATGCCTTATCCATGAGGAAGATAAGAAAGCTAGCGGTTCATCTGGTTCGTCTGGTGCAGGTCAAACTCCGTCTGTTAAGTTGCCTATCATATCTTTGCCCGAATTCGACGGTTCATTTGATCATTGGCTTGAATATCGTGATACATTTCAGTCTCTCGTCCATAAATGCCCATCAATTTCAAAAATACAGAAATTTCACTACCTTAAGTCGACTTTAAAAGGTTCAGCTCAGTTAGTTGTTGATTCGATTGAGTTTTGCGAAGACAACTACGACACTGCATGGGAGCTTCTGCTTAATCGCTACGATAATTCGAAACTTTTAGTTCAGAAGCACGTTAAGTCTTTGTTTACCATGCCGTCGATTACAAAAGAATCATCGCCGCAGATAAGGAAACTTATTGATGTGACCTTAAAAAATATACGCGCTTTAAAATTGCTCGGTGAAAGTACCGAACATTGGGACACATTAATAATCTATATGATAGTTTCCAAGCTCGATCAAAGCACAGAACGCGAGTGGGAACAACATAAGTGTTCCTTATCAGTGACTGATGATTCTAAAATCATAAAATTAGATGATTTAGTGAAATTTCTCAGACAAAAGGCGGATATGTTAGATACTCTTTCACACTCGGTTTCACACAAGACGAATAACACGCAAAACACACAGAACAAACCTTCCAATTCTGTCGCGCAGAAGGTTCATTGTCACATAGCTACAGAAAAATCGGGCACTAATACTAACACAAAAAACAATCAAACACGCAAACGATTGTGTGTTCTGTGTAGTGCGCCGCATCCTCTGTATTCG